GTTGGAGGAGGTGGGCCTGGGAAGCCAGTGTGGGAGGGAATAGTGGAGTGGGTAGGAAGGCCTCGGTGTATTACTAGGTCGGGGCTCAGGGCTTCTGTAAAGCCAGATGCTGAACGCCTCCCTAACTCCCACTGCCGCTAGGTGGCGGCACTGAGACTTGATTCAGGAAAAGGGAGCTCAAATTTGTGACCTTGGGCAAGTCACTTTGCCTCTGTCTGCTTCAGTTTCCTCATCTGTAAAATGGGGTTCATGATGGAAGCTCTCACCTAGGGTTATTGTGAGGCTGCAGTGAGCTCATATTTGTAAAGCGTTCACAAACCTTAAAGTGCCATGTAAATGTTAGCTGTGATGACGCCGAAGGTGGCCACTTATTTGGGCACATTCCTGTTCGAGGATACCGACGTAGGAGAGCCAGCCTCGGAGCCAGGAAGCCATGGCGCCATGGCTTCCTTCTGGCCCCTGCATGGTGGGCTGTGTGACCCTGGGCAAGTCACCTGGTGCTCTGGACCAGAGGTGGCAGACTCCTCATTGTGACCAAAGCAGATTTAGATGGCGTGTGGAAATATTGCACAAAAGAAAGAAAAATACACCAAACCATAGATAGCGTTGTCTTCAAACTGTGTCAGCATGGGCTGGCAGGGATCCTGCTGCTATGGCTGGATTGATTAGTGGCCCTGATTCAATTTGTGTTGGACACGCTGCTCTGGGGAACTCTGGACGGCATTTCCTCCCAGCCCCGTCCCTCTCCCAGTGGCCCACGGCTGGCGTGCGCCCCAGTCGGGGCATCATTCCCTGGGGCTGAAAGCTAATCTACTCACTTCTGTAGTCCCTCTTGACCATGGCCTGGTTAAAGAGGCAGAATTTAGCTCCTCAGGCAGCACTTGGCAGTGACCAGCTCTGCTTGAAGGGCTGCTCTGGGGAACTCACTACCTCTAGGTGCTATAAGAAGTGTTCTGTTTTCAGGCTGGGCACTGGTCAGGGATGCCATAGAAGAGATACAGACAGAGGTTGGGTGGCTTATGAACTAGAGTATGGGAAGGGATGGAGCAGACTTTGTACCTTTTGGGGGGAGGTTTGGCCGTCTTTCTTCTCCACAAGCGGGCCCCCTCCTGCCTCTCCAGTCTGCCTTCTCCTGTGGCCTCAGATCCAGGGACACCGGCCTTCCCATCAGGCCTCTCCGGGCATTTCCTCCTCATCTCTGCCTCCTTCAAGGCCCACCTAAAATCCCCCTCTTCCAAGAGTGGGGTCCCTTTCCTGGGACCCTGGGAGCAGCATATTTTGGTGGGGGGGGGCACAGGGCTCTCATGGACTGCTTGTGTGACCTGGAGCTAAGCAGAACCTCGGATTTCTTCTGAGTTATCACTTAGACGTTTCCTCCATCAGAAAACCGCCCCCCCCCCCCCCCCCCCCGCAATTTTCCAATGAGCTCACAGCTTAGCTAGATGTTTTGTGGCCAGCTTAAATTGGCCAGGGAAGTTTTTCTGAATTCTGGGCTCTCTGTCAATTAGCTGAGCACCCCCAGCCCCCGTAAACGAACATCACTTTGTTGCCCTTAAGATCCTGTGCACAAGAAAGAGCCCACAGAAGTGCCATAAGGTGTCAGGGATACCAACAGAAGCGTCAAGAGCCAGACGGACTCTTCCGATTTGCTGAGCGTTCCTTTGACCTTAGAGAGCAGTCTCTGTGTTCAAGCAGAAGGGCGGGTTCTTTTTATGTGGCTTCTTCGGGTTATAGAGGCAGCTCGCAGCACCACGGTGGAGGGAATGCTGGGCTTGGAGGCAGGAAGACCTGAAGTCAAATGCGACCTCAGAGACTGCCTAGCTGTATGATCCTGGGTCAGTCACCGAACCCCTCTCTGCCTCTGTTACTTCAGTTGTAAAATGGGGCTAATAGCAGCAGGGTTGTTGCGAGGATCAAATGAGATCATATTTGTAGAAAAGTATTTAGCACAGTGCCTAGCACACAGTGGTGCTTAATGAATGCTTACTTTCTTCTTTCCTTCCTTATATGCACAGGCACATAGGATTTAGGACTAGCCCTAGAAATTTCCAGATAAGAAAACAGAGGTTCACATGGCTTACACAATTGTGCTGCTGGGACCAGCATTCAGGTCGTGTTCCTCCAAATCCAGGACACTTGTGTCTCGAAGCTGACTCAGCCCTCCTAAGATGCTGGATGACCCAGACCTTCACCTCTCTGGGCCTCAGTTTCTTGATGTGTAAAATGAGGGGAATAATAGCACCAACCTCCCAAATGACATCACATCTGCAGAGCGCTCTCTGGCGATCTCGCCTGTTGGTCTGATTAACCCCCGAATACATTGGCGCTCCCGAGCTGCTCGGGCGGACAGATGCCTCCTTTTCGGGGCACCGAGTTTCAAGAAAGCTGGATTGTGAGGCTTAGCCCCAAGCTTCAGGGAAATGGTGGCTGGGGGGGGCGTATTTTTTATTTTGAAGAGACCTAGTTACTAAGCAACTGTTGTGGCCTGGCTGCTTAGTGGGAGTGTAATGGCAAGAGTTGATCCCAAAGAACGGAAAATAAAAACAAGTTAGAAAAGAACAAACAGATCCGAGGAGAGGTTCTTTTTCCTTTCTGGGCTTCCCACATATCTCTGTCCTTTTCCTCTTCCCTGAAAAGGGCCTGCCTTGGGGTTCCCCTCCCTGGCCTGACCCGGGCCTCTTTCATGGCAAACGGGGACCCTGACCGTGGGTTAGTTAGCAGTCAGACCAGAGGGGAAAATGAATGTCGATTCTGACGCCGCATGACCCCTGCTAAGTCATTTCCCATCCTGAGACCTGTCTTCTTATCTGTAAAACAAAGGCGTTTTAAATTTTTTGGTTGTTCATTTAACAAGGGAAGGGTTGGATTATGGTGGATGGGTGTGGTGGGATACGGGAGAGCCAGAAATGATGTCTCAAATGCAAGGCACCGGGAGAATCATAGACTTTTGGAGCTGGCGCCACGGAGGGGGCGTCCCCCAGCTCTCATGGCCTCTTGTTCCGGCAGGTGGTTCCCCTCCTCTGGATTCTCTCCACTTTTTCTCCCCAAATTGAGGTACCCCAAACTGGCCAAGCATACTCCAGGTGTGATTGGGCTGGGGGCGAGGGCCAGAGTGCATTGGGCTCCTCACCTCCTTCTTCCTAGTGCAGCCCATAGTTCTTTTGGCTGCCGTCTCTCACTGCTGGCTCCACTCGGACCCCCGAGATCTTTTTCAACCAAACTGTTCTCTAGCCCAGCTCCACCTGTCTTGTACCTCTGAGGGTAATTGTTCAAACCCAAATGTGAGTCTTTATGCTTAGCTTAGCTAACGTGTAATTAAAATGAATTCCTTGTCCTAGATGATCTCCAAGATCCCTCGAAGGGAGGCTCAGACATTCTGAGAATCCAAGACTTGGCCTCTTCGCTAGCTTTGTGTCCACAGGCAGAACTCTTTTTCACCTTTGAGCCTTAGTTTCCTCCTCTGTGGTGGGTGTGGGAGAGGGGTTTGTCGGGCAAGACGCTTTCCTCCTAAAGGAAGTCACAGCTTTGATGTGGCATGGGATTTTTGGAAATTCACCAGCCACTTAGGAAGCCCTTCCTCTCTCGAAGGCCTTGGATTACCTCAGCATATTAAGGCACGTGCTAACAGGGCTTCCAGTTCAGTGGCGAGGTCAAGACCCTCAGGTGAGGCCCGGGAGGATTCCACTAAGGGGCTTTGGCGGGGCACCGGCACTTACAGATGGAGACGAGGGTCCCGCACTGCGTTTCTTTTCCCATCTGTAGGATGAGTCAGTGACTTCCCTGTTTCCTCCAGGATGTAATATAATGAAGACAAATCACCAGAACATGTAGCGGGCTTTAGTGAATGAAAGCAACTAAGCTAGGCATGTTGTGCTCATGGATAATAGACTGAGCCTTTGTGGAGAAGCTGCGACCTTGTACAAGCCAGCCTGGTCACCCCACCCCTTCTCTCCACCTTCATTGACCTTTTTCTTTAGCTGAAGGGCACCATGCCCTGCTGAGACAAGGAGTATCACGTGTCAGAACAGGTGTTTGGGTTTCTGCCTGTATGACCCTCCAGATGAGGTGGGGGCGCCAAGTGCCAATCCTCTGTGGCGTCGGCCCCGGCAGGGTCTTTCGGCTTCGTCTGGAAACAAGGACTTCCATTCTGAAAATCAGGCTTGAGTGACCGTTGGCTGGTTTTCTCATTTCCATCTGCCTGGGTTGTACAAGTCACCTTGTTTCACATAGTAGGTGTTATTTCTTTGAAGAGAATTTTCATTAAAAATGAACTCTGTGTAAATTCACTAGGGGAAATTGATACTTCTAAAAAATCTCATGTGATAATAACCCCCCCCCCCCCACCACCACCACCATGCTTTACATCAGATATCTTTCTTTTAGATTTACCAGGAGAAATGGGGGGCTCTTCAGTGTTTCTGGATGGGCAAGGGGACCCGAGCGTTCTGAGCAGATACCCAGGTTGATATTGAGGCTGGGGAAGGGGCAGCACGGGTCTTAGTGGCTGGACGAGTTTGGTCGTTAAAGTTGAAACCCCCTCTTCAGTGAGTAACCCCTTTTTTGCTTTGGTCAGGTGGCCATGGCCTTTGTATTGGGGGGACAATCTGTTGTTTGGAATGGGGGGGAGAGTCTCTTCCACCATCTGTTTTCTTTAGGTCTTGATGTTGCTCTAAAGAGGAAGCTAGAACCTCCTTCCAGTTGTTTGTTTGTTCAAGGATCAGATTTCAAGGCCAGTAAAGGCCTTCTCTATCTCAGCTTGTCCAAATGGTGCCCGTTTTTGAAGCACATTCTTTCCTCCTATTGGTTTCCTCCTCTTGGGGTGGAGAAGTTTCTATCTTCCCAGGTAAGACAGGTTCTGGCCCCCAAGCAAAGACCGACAGGGCTGGTGGAAGTTGCTTTTAGAGTTTATTTTCCGAAGACCTGGTGGGTGCCCCAGGAATTGAGGCTGGAGGGCACTCGGTGCCTCGGGTTAATGATTCTCTTCTCTCCCCTCCCCCCAGAATACAGTCGCTTTGAATCCAAAATCCACGACTTGCGAGAGCAAATGATGAGCAGTAGCATGAGCTCGGGGTCTGGCTCCCTTCGCACCAGTGAGAAGAGGTCTCTCTACGTCCGGTAAGCTGTCCGTGCGCCTGGCCCCTGCCCGGCGGCCAAAGGGACGTGCACTTCCATGGCTTGCTGATTGCTCATTCTCTCCTCACCTTTCACTTTTCGGTGACCCCAGTCCTGGGAGAGTTTCTGGGTTCTGGAATTGGATAATCCTGTTGGGTGGTTGTTCCTGTTCAGTAGTCAGCACTTCTCTGTTCAAAGTCCTGGCCTTGCAAGCTGGTTTGATTTGAGGGGAAATCCTGGTATCCCCTCTTCTATTTCTGAAGCTTCAGTTTATGTATGTCACTGAGTCTGAGCCCCAGAGCAGCCAGAACTTGGACGAGACCACAGAACTTCCTGCTCATGGCTCTCTAAAAAGAGGTGCGTTTAAGTGGCCACGTGGGCCTCCACGTGAGAACGGTGATGACCTCTTCCATCGGAGGCTGCGTGGGGCTGTTACCGGTCTGTGCTGAGCTTCGGCACCTGTTTGGGGTGGGGGAGGACTTTTTCCTAGTTGCCTAGCGATAAGACAACTCTTCTGACCTCGGGGTGCAGGATGACGAAGGCAGCCCAATGAAAATGGTAACTGCTTTTCTTTTCAGGTTGCTAGATTTATTTTTCTTCTTTCAATATATTCCTGACCCCACAGAAGGGAGCCAGCCTTTCTGGCCAGAAAGTCTCCCAGAAACCCTTCTGTTCTTGCCCAAAGAGATCTTTCAGTCGGTCTCCTTGGGTGTTAATAGCGCCTTTCTTTCTCTTTGCCTAAGCCTGGGAAAAGAGAGGCCTGGGGAGTCATTGTTGGGAGCCCTGTGGTCTTATTTCAGGAAATATTTGTTAGAGAAGCCTTCTACCTTCAATCTATCCAGCAACCTTTAGGTAGTACCTCCTATGTGCCAGGCACTGTGCTAAGCTGTTAGCTGGTGCTTCAAGCCTTGGAACTTGTGCTCAGGCCCAGGTAGCTGATTTCCAGGATTCGCCCAGGTCCAGCCTATTGCTCGATTGAATGGCACTGACAGAAATACAACTGCTTCGATGACAGAGAATCTGGGTAGGGGATCACATAGGATTTTGAAGCCAGTTCAAACGAGTGTCAGGACTTTGCGTGAGCTGGATCTCTCAGCCTGTGTCTCTGGGTGCTGTGATGCTCCTCTTCTGTGACCCCTAGAGCAGACTGGTCCCCGCAGAGGGTTCATTTCCTTCCAGGCACCTCTGGGTGACCAATTCCCTCGACTTTTCCATTTGGGGAGCCCAGCCCTTAAGCTTCTCTCTCTTTCTCTCAGTCTCCCCCTCCCCCTCCCCATAATTGTCCATTTGGGCCTGCAGCTTCCAGGGAAAAGAAGGAACAGAGTAGTAGCAGTCTTAAATCACCAGCTGCCTAGTAGACATTTGCAACTATTTGGAATTCGTGTTTTGTTGAGATGCTCATAAGCATCTCAGATTCAACGTGTCCAAAATGGAGCTCGTCACCTCACTTCTGATTTCTCTCCAGGGCAGTACCATCTTTGCAGTTTTGTAGACACGTTCACAACCTCAGTCATCCTCCACTCTCCACTCTCCTCTCCCATATCCAGGGAGGTGCCCAGCCCCTTTCTCTGCGCTCACACAGCCACCACCCCAGTCCACACACTCATGTCCTCTTGCTTAGATGATTGTAGTGGCTTCCACCTTCCCTGATTCCATTATGCGCCCCCCCATAACAATCATCCTATAATTAAGACCTCAGAGTTATTTGTTATGTGTGTTATAACTGCTAAATTGTAAGCTCCATGAGGACAGGGAACAGGACTTTTTCTTTTCTCTGCCTTCTACCACTCCCAGCACAGTGCTCTGCATATAGTGGGTGCTTAATTAGGTTCATAGCTTTAAAACGAAGCTGTCTGCCACGAAGAGGTTTCGAGGGCTGGATGTCAAAGATCAGGGGACGTGTGGAGCAGTTGGCTGAGTGAACAAGGTCTCTTAGGGACCCAGGAATGCTGGAGCCCAAGAAAACTGGTCAGGCAGGTTCCCAAAGACCAGGGGCTTTCAGAAAGAATGTCAGGCCCTCAGCCAGGGAATACTTCCAGGAAAAAGGATTTTGTGAATGATTCCCCCCTGATGTGACCTTGAGCAAAGCCCTTCCCCTCTCTGGGTCCATTTCCTCCGCTGTCTACTGAGGAACCGCAGCTAGGCCCTGTCACCCATGCCAGGAATGCACTCCTGCCTCGGGGAATCCTGGGTCTCCTTCAGCGCCTGACTTCTACCTTCCTCATGTTCATCTCACATAAAGTCCAGTTATCTCCCTTGCTGGAGTGTGAGCTCCTGGGGGGGGCAGGGGGTGCTTTCACATAGTAGGTGCTTAAATGACTGTCGTTCCAGCTCTATATAGCACCTGCTATGTGCCAGGCACTGTGCCAAGCGCTTTACAAATATCTCATTTGATTCTTCCGCCAACCCCCAGAGCTCGGTGCTGTTATCATCCCCATTTTACCATTGACGGAACTGAAACCGACAGAGCTTAAGTGACTCGCCTAGGGTCACACAGCTTGGAAGCATCTGAGACTGAATTTGAAGACAGCACTTCCTGACCCCACTGTGCTACCAGCTGCCTCATTGGGTTCTTTCGTCTCTGGAAACCCCACTATCGTCATTTCTCTCTGATTTTCAGTTTCTTCCCGTCTGCTGGCTTCTTCCCTGCTGCTCACAACCACGTCCATAGCTCTCTCACCTGGTTTTACTATTCCTGCTAGCGGTCCTTCGTGAGCTTTCCCCTCCTCCGCCGGACACCTGGGTTTCCTCTCTCTGCGAAATCTTCAGCGATCTGGCTTCCGGCCTCATCCTTGGGCTGAACCTGTCTTCTCTGAAGTTCAGCCCTAACTCTAATGTCCTTTTTCTCAGGCTCATCCTTCGCGACCTCTTGGCATCTTTCCAGCATTATCTCAGTCATTCCAACATTTGCTAATGCTGGGAAGGCAGAGACATGAATGAAATAGTCCCAACCCTCAAGGAGCTGCCATTCTCTTAGCGATCTTCACAGATCAGTATGGACCAGACACATGACAGATACTTTTTAGCATTTTGATGATTAGGAAAGAGCTTATGTAGGTTGTGACCACTTGAGCTGAGGCCGGGATGTGGAGGGAGAAAGAGAGAGAGAGAGAGAGAGAGAGAGAGAGAACAAGCCGTCCAGGCCTGAGGGACAGCAGCCCCAGCCCCAGGAGCCTCACGGGCTTGGGGGCTAGCTGGGTTGGGTAAGATGGCCTTGCCCTTCTGCCCTCCCGGTTCTGTCCCTCTGTTCTTCCCAGCAGAAAAGTGGAAATAACTTGAAGATGGCTAACCTTTCTCTCCCCTCCCCCACCCCCAGGCTTTTTCTTCTTTTCTTCATTTATTGTTGCCTCGTTCCTTCAAGCAGTTCTCATCGGGGAACGATTTACATTTTATATAGGCCCCCCCCACACTTTCTGAAACAATCTATGCAGAACAAAATGTCTTAGTTTGTGTTTTATTGAGACAAAATCAAGAATTTATAAATTCAGGATAAAACAAAACCCTTAAAATTCTCATTCGGCTTCGTTCGCTGCCATAGTCATAGATCTGGAGATCTAGCACAACCCTCATTTGGTGGCTCCATAGAAAGTGGCAGAGGAAGGATGGGAAACTGAGTAAAAGGTGAGCGGTAAAAGCCAGTGGCAGAAGGTGCCCCATTGGAAATGTGGGATGTGCCTAGATGCTATGGGCAGGAGTTGGGGAAAGGAACAGGGCTGTTGCTGTACCTTCAGGCCTTGGCCTCAGCTGTCCAGTGACTTCACGCTTACTTAGCCCAGCCGTAGGAATGTCCTTCATCCGTGGTGGGGATGGGAGGCCTCAGAGAAACCTGGGCACTGGGTGGCAGGGAGCCCTCTGTAGGCCTGCATGTCCACAGGAGGGGGAATGGGCTCTGGCCCCACCAGAAGGAGGATAGTGATGTTGAGGGGCATCAGGGTAATCATAAATGTTTCCCTCCCTCCCCTCTGGGGAAGGAGCCCAGCCCTTTCCCCCGGTCCTATGAGCCGCTTCTGAACTCCCCACTGGGCACAGCAGAAGGCAAGGGAAGGCTTGGTGACCCATCAGCCCGGTCCCCTGCCACACACTCCACCCTGCTGAAGACGCCATCGTGGCCCCGCTAAGTCACTTCTTCACATATGACTCTATCTTGGGCTTCTTAGGTGGCATCATGAGCTCAAGGTTCTTCCCAATGCTGATTTCCTGCCTCTGGACATTTTCCAGCCTCTCAGTGTCCTTTCTGAACTGTGGCATCAAGAAGCGAGTGTGCCAGCTGGGGCATGACCAGGGCAGATGGGGCAGCAGGAGCGTTGCCTCCTCAAGCCTAGCAGCAACAGCCCAAGGTTGCCTTGACTTTCTGGGTCAGTGTGTCGTGGTGAACTCAGATCATGTGAACCACCAGATCTTTGTCAAACAAATCGTTTTCTAGCCATGTCTCACTTATTCCGGCCTTATCTCCACCTCCTTTTAGGGCCAACTTAGATGCTGCTTCCTCTGTGAAGCCCTCCCTGATTTTCTTAGCTGTTAGTGTTCCCTTCTTCTTCACTTAACCTTGTGTCTACTTATCTGTGGACATGTTGTATCCTCCCAGTAGACTATAAGCTCTCTGTGATCCCATTTGGGGTTTTCTTGGCAAAGATACTGGAGTGTATCTTTAAGCCATTTCCTTCTTCAGCTCTTTTTACAGATGAGGAAACTGAGGCAGACAGGGTGAGGTGATTTGCCCGGAGTAACACAGCTAATAAGTGTCTGAGGTCAGATTTGAATGCAGGTCTTCTTGGCTCCAGGCCTGTCACGCTATCCACTGCGCCACCTAGCTTACACATAGTAGGTACATAATTTGTTTGTTTGTTTGTTGAATTAAATTGTGTTCTAAATGGTGGCAAAGGATTAGCTTTTATTTTTTGTTTTCTGTATTAAGTTGCTTGAATGAGAATTAGTGCAGATAAGGTTTCTCTGAAACTTTTCTAGAAAAAACAATTCAGTAGGAAACTCCTACTCTTATGGTGGGCAAGAAACAGGAGTCAGTCATGGAAATGGCTGTCATGTTCTTCTCTCCATCGCTGTGTGGACTCTCAGTTCCTGCCCAGCCACGTGTAGCCCATGAGCCCATCTCCTCATCGCTCTTGTTACCTCCTGGCAAATGCAGCTCTTGGCCATGCTGACATTTTTATTGAACTGGAATCACCCTGTGATTGAAAAAAGTAGGAGTTGTTGCTATCTTCCTTCCTTCCTTCCCTCCCTTTCTCCCTCCCTTCCTGACCACCCATGCTTGTAGGGTGGAGCTTTAAAGCCTCATGGACCTTTGTTCTGGGACACTTTCAGGCTGGCCTATCTCCCCTGGATTATTCCACCATTTGCCGCCTCCACTCCTGCTCATGTGTTGCTAAACAGAACTGGGGGAAATCATGAGACTGTATGGACTGGGTCCATTAGAAATTTTTAACAACTAATTTCAACTGGGCCCTCACTACAGCAAGGCAACTTTTCAATTATTCCCTAAATGACTCTGTCCCATTCAACACAGCGACTATTCCAGAGTTTCTCTTTTCTCCTCAGGTATCCCACAGCAACGCCTCCCCCACCCTGACAGGGAGCTCATCTCATACTTCACTGAAAAAATAGAGGTTATTTACCAAGGAAAGAGAAGCCTTCATCTTCTCATTTCACATACTTCCGATTTCATCTCCCCACAGTCTCCTTTTTCATTTCAGTCTCTAATGAAGAAGCAATCACCTCTCCTCGTTCAACTCAGTCACCCTCCACGTACTCACAATCCTGTCTCTTCTTGTCGTCTTTAGCAGATTGCCCCGACTCTCTAATCTTTAGTCTCTCCCTGTCTACTGGTACCTTCTCTGCTAATTACAAACGTGCCCATGTCTTCTCCACCCTTAAAAACCTTTCACTGGATCTTACCATCCTCACTAGCTTGTCAGCTTATATTTCTCTTTCCCTTTTCGTCCAGCCCTTGAAAAAGCTGCCTATACTCTGTTCTTCCACTTACTGTGTTCTCACTCCCTTGTAAAAACCTTCTACAGTCTGGCTTTTGACCTCGTCATTCCACCCAAACTGCTCTCTCCAAAGTTATCGGTGATCTCTTAATGGTGAAATCCACTAGCCCCTTATCAACACTCCATCCTCCTTGACTCCTCTGCGGCTTTGGACCATCAGTCACCCCACCTCTTTGGATATTTCCTCTTCTATGTTTTTTTTTATTTTTTTAAAAAAACTTTTTTCATAATTTATTTTGATTTATCAAACATCATTTCCAGAAGCTTTTGAGTTTTAAATTTTTCTCCCCCTCCCTCCCTACCTCCCTCCCCAAGACAGTGCACAATCTGATATAAGCTCTACATATACATTCCTATTAAACATATTTTCACACTAGTCCTGTTGTAAAGAAGAATTAGAACCAATAGGAGGAACCACAAGGAAGAGGAAACAAAACCAAACAAGAAAAAGAAAAAATGAGCAAACAGTCTGCTTCGGTCTGCATTCAAACTCCAGAGTTCTTTCTTTGGATGTGGAGAGCGTTTTCCAGCATGAGGCCTTTGGAGGTGTCTCAGATCCTTGCATTGCTGAGAAGGGCCAAGTCTATCAACATCAGTCATCACACAACGTGGCTGTTGCTGTGTTACAACGTTCTCCTGGTTCTGCTCACTTCCCTCAGCATCAGACCATACAAGTCTTTCCAGGTTTTTCTGAAGTCCGCCTGCTCACCATTTCTTACAGCACAATAGTATTCCATTACATTCGTATACCACAACTTGCTCAGCCATTCCCCAATGGATGGGCATCCCCTCAATTTCCAGTTCTTGGCCACCACAGAAAGAGCTGCTATGAATATTTTTGTACGTGTGGGTTTCTGTGCATTTTTATGACACTCCTCACTTGGTTTTCTCCTCCTGCCTCTCTGACACTCCTATTCCTTCTCCATTGCTGGGTTTTCATCCAAGCCATGCCCACTAATGATGGCTCTCTTGATTGTGATCTCAGCAGCTCCCATGGGTTCCATGCTTATCTCTATGCAGAGGATTCCCAGATCTCTGTATCCAACCGTGGTCTCTCTCCCGAGCTCTGAGCTTACTTTTGGGCATCTGAAGTTGCATGTCCTTTAAGCTTCTGAAAATTCCCACGTTCAATACAGACCTCATCATCTTTACTTTCGGAGCTCCCCTATCAGTGTTGAGAGCAGTTACCCAGGTTTGCAACCTGGGTGCCATCTTCTCTCTCAGTCCCCTCACGTGTCCAGTCTGTTGTTAAGCTTCTTGTTTCTGGATATGTTTTCTTACAGTAGCCTTTTCCCCCCATGTATGGAGCAAGTGTTTATTTTATACACACAAAAGAAATACTAGGAGACACAAAATCTGATTCAATAAACGTACCCAATTACTGTTCTACTTTGTTTGGAGGCTAACACTTCAACTGCATAAGATTATAAAGTAGCTCGTGGGGCGACTGAGCAGACCCGCTCCACGTCTTCTGTTAGAGTAGGCCAGGCTGGGGCTGAAGCGGAGGGGACTCCTCCTCTCGACGCCAGGCAGCTCTGGACCTTTTGAACTCACAAGGTTACAAAATAAAAGCCAAATACAACTGGAGCCCTGTGTGTGACAGCTCGCGCTCACCCCTTCACAAGCCCACCCCTAGGCCTCTGCTTCTTCCCACTCCTCACTTCCATCAGGATTGCCCGGGCTTCCTTCAACACCCAGCTCAAACACTACTTTCTTTAGGAGGCCTTTCCTGGGCCCTCCCCCACCAGCTGCCTTGTCCTTCTCCTTTGTATGGGGGGGGGGCGGGGAGAGAGAGAGAGAGAGTGTGTGTGTGTGTGTGTGTGTGTGTGTGTATACACACACATGTTTTATCTTCCATTTGAATAGAAACTTCTTGAGGACAGGGGCCGTTGTTTTGCCTTTTCCTGGCATCCATCCCCAGTGTGTGGTGCATAATGAAGTGCTTAATAAATGCACGTTGATCGACTGCTTTCCCGCTTCTCTCCTGTGGGAACCATTGACTAGAGTTCGGACGGTCAGCTTTTCATTCCCGAACACAAGGTGTCTTTCTTCCTGCCTCCTTTTTCCTCGACCTCACCTTCCCTTCTCTGTTACCTGTAGTGTTGGAAGCAAGGAGAACTGAGACTTTTCAGGCAAAGTCTGACTGGCCTAGGACACGTTACGGCCTCTGAAAAGAGGGGCACCTTAAGGTGCTAACCTTTTATTGGTCCTGCCCACCCCCACCTCGTCCTCTGCTTTTGCCTCCTCTGGCACCCACGGTCTGGACTGCGTGTAACGATACCCGGCAGTGCATCCTCGCTTTTATGGGTATATCCTGTTTTCCCAGACTAGATCACAAGCTTCTGGAGGGCAGGGACTATGTGTTGTGTTGCAGTGACTGTCACGAGGCCTGACCCATTGTAAGTTTTTGGTAAATGTTTGGGTGCAAAAGCACATAGCTCTTGGGAGAGGTGAGATCTTCACCTGAACAAAGAGGTCACACAAAGGGAGGGCTGCTTTTTCCCCTTCTTTCCCAGGATGCTCATGGAAATGTCTGGGCATGAAGGGGGGCTGCTAGGAGCTCTTTACTGTGACCGGAACCTGGGAGGTGTGACTGCAGAGAGCCCTTTGTGTCACTCTTGGGGCTCGTGGGTAAGGGTCTGGTAGGGAGTTTTTCTTCTCTCGCTGTTTTTTTTAGGGCTTTGTTTGATTATGACCGGACCCGGGACAGCTGTCTGCCAAGCCAGGGGCTCAGCTTCTCTTATGGTGACATTCTGCATGTCATTAATGCTTCTGATGATGAGTGGTGGCAGGCCAGACTGGTCACCCCCCACGGAGAGAGTGAACAAATTGGCGTGATCCCTAGCAAGAAGAGGTGAGTCTTGGCCCATCTACGTGAGGAGCCCCCGTCCTCCTCTAGGGTTGGGATAAAATCCAGGGCCTCAGTAGCACGCCTTGGGCTTTGTCCCTGTGCTCCACCTCGGCTTCCTTTGGGTGCTGAGCTCCTTTAGGAGAGACCACATAATTGACAGGAGTCTGAGCCACAGCTAAATGCAGCCATGCTGGGCAGTAACCAGGACTTCTCTCTGACCTCCAAACAGGGTGGAAAAGAAAGAACGAGCCCGATTAAAAACCGTCAAGTTCCACGCCAGGACAGGGATGATTGAGGCTAACAGGGTAAGTAAGTGTGGTGCCTTGGGAAACGAGCCGCCAGCCCGTGCAGAGTCTTGTCTGAGGCGTGGGAGAACAGGGGCGTACCTCTAAGGTGGCCGGCTCTGCCCTCGGAACGGTACTGGCTGATCTTCCGGAAAGGCAAAGAACAGGTTGGAGTGTCCAAGGCCAACGTGGATTGTTCACCTTCCTTCATCCTGGGCAGATGGTTCTTGGAGTTGCAGTGGAGTTGGAGCAGCCTAGAAGCCAGGATGCCTGTGGGCAGACTGAAAAATTAGGGAAAAGAAAGCACCTTGTGGAAGCTTCAGCAGCTACAAATCTCGCAGGGTTCCTGGACGGAGGCAGTTCCCAGGACATGCCACGTCTCGCTGGTGCAAGGGCCTTGGCAGCTAGCTGCCGAGAGCCGGACTCCACCCAGAACAGATGAGGCGTGAGGGGTCCTCTCCATTCGCCCCTTTTCTGCTCCAAGCTTCGCAGAGCAGGAGAGGAGAGAAGGGCCTGGAGTAGCTGACTCCATCTCTGTAAGTGGCACTTTTAGAGCAGGAGCCCAGGAGGAGGCCATCTTTGTTGTTTAGGAAGTGCCAGTGAATGCCAGGAGTTTGGATTAGGGAGCTGGAACCTCTTAACATCCATCCCTTGAACACCTAAGTCTTCTCTTCCATCAGTCTTCATTGATCTCCTAGAATCCATTTGTGAGAAATTGTCCTTGACCTAGCCTCCTCGTTGTCTTCATTTTAATTTTCCTTGCATGCTTTAAAATCCATTGTTCTGTTTTTTTCTGTCCTTCCCCGCCATCTTCATGTTCTTTCACAGTCGATCAAAACGAAACGTAAAAAGAGTTTTCGCCTCTCTCGAAAGTTTCCATTTTACAAGAGCAAAGAGAACGTGACCCAGGAGAGCAACGGACAGGAACGTAAGTAGCAGCTGAGTAGGGAGAGCAAACCATCCAGCAGCCTGCTGTCTTCTTTTCTTCCTTCCTTCCTTTTTTTTTTTTAAGAAGACTGGAAAGGGCCAGGGGTGGTTGGGGCGAATCGGCTTCACCTGCTCGGCCGGCTCCCCAGTGAGGCGCATGGCGAGGGCTCCAAGGCTCCAGGCTGCCAGGCAGTCCCTGGCACTGCGGTCTGAGTGTCCACAGCAAGAGACTGAGCACTTTTCAACCGTGTTGTAAAGTCTGGTAAAGGGAGAGGAGGCACTGGTGTTCCCCTGGCTTCTTCCTCTCATCCTTTCCCCTCTCTCTCATCCAGGACTACCTTGTTTTTCTATCGGGATGTTAGAGATGTGTCATCCACTCTATTAACCCTCCTTATACTAGGGAAGAGGCTTGCTCAGGGTCACACAGGGAGTCAGGAGCAGGTCCTCTGCCACCATCCAGAATTCCACATATGCTCAAAACGTGCACACGACCCTTTTCTGGTATGGGCAGGAGACCCGTTTTCATGGTACTTTCTTGTTTCTTCAGCGACATTGAGGGAACAATCTTAGCCGTCTGTTCAAATAAAGACTTAGTGGGAGAAACAAGAGACATGAAAGCAAGCTAAACTAGCCCAAGGCTGACGTTTGGCGCCTGCTCCGGGCCTCAGAACTGGATTGTGCTAAGCCGGACCCGAAACCCTAGCTCAGACCTGCCCAGCTTGGCTCTCCTGCCTTACGCAAAGCAGCCCTGGAGTTCTGGGCTGATGGGAATAAGCAAGAGACTGGGGCCTTTGTGACTGATGCACTATTGGGGTTTGTATGGGGAACTGCTGTTCGGGGACGTTACCCTGGTGCACCACTCTAGATAGAAGCGTTTCCATTCCTGTGTTTTGTCTCTGGGACAAAGACATTTCTAGCAGCAGAGCGGATCAGGTTGGTTCAGCCCCATAATTGCAGGGGAAAAGCTTGGCCCCTAGCTGCCATGGCTCCCATTCCGTGTAGGCGTCCGAGGAGGGCAGAGCCCAGCCTGGCAAGAATGCTGTGTGTCTTCGTGTTCAGAGACCCGCCTCAGCAGGGGAACTTTGGGGTGACTGAGCAGAAACTCTGTGGGCCAGCAGAAGGGGCTGCCTGGCGCCTCCTCTGTAGGGGCTGGGCTCTTCCTTTGGGCTCCACACATCATAGGTCAGTCTTTGGAGGCCATTTCCAAAGTGGTATGAAGACTTAAACGATGGGTTTGGCCAGAATGCATCAGTGCTAGGTGATGGTCATTCTGCCTCTTTCCCTTCTATTTGAGCTTTCAGAGACCCACCAGGAAGCTTTACAAGTCCTCTTGAGCCAATGCCACATGCTGGCCAGACCAGGGCCCCAGTGGAAGGTCTTTCCTTCTGGGTACTCCCTTTCAGGTCTGGGCCCTGGTACTAGCAGTGGATTTGCAAGTGAGAAGCCAGATGTCTCTCTTGACCCTGAGATGCTATTTCTGCTGCCATGCGGCTTGAGTAGAGCTGTGTGCCTCACTGGTTTCAGCTCTTCACGTGGTTCTGTTCACCTGTCACTAATGTTCACTGGGTTCTGTATTCTTCTTCCCCACCCCCTTCTTCCTTCCCCCACCCCCCATCTTCTCTCTCCAATCTCTTCCTCCTTTCTCTTTTTATTTCCTTGCTGTCTGTGAAATCAGGACTTCCCTGGGTTAAGTGACGATTATTATGGAGCAAAGAACCTGAGTAAGTCAAACTTACACCCTCTTCACTTTCCATTTCTGGTGGCATTAGCAGAGCAGTCTGGGTGGGGGCGGGGGTAAAAAGTGTGTACAACTGATGCCTCTAAGCGGGGGGCTGGTCCTGGACAGAGCAGGATGCGTGTCCTCCAAAACCCACAGGGGCCTAACAAATGAGCCCACATTGAGAGCTGCCCTGAGTGGCGGGTGACGAAAAGTCTTAGAAGCAAGCACGGATCAAGAAATCTCGTTCCAGGGTAAAGACCTCAGCTTCTTCCCCTCGTGCTCAGGAGCCCAGAGGAGGGGAGGAGAGAGAGGGGGCCCCTGCCTGCTTGGTGGAATCTATTCTTTCCTGGGATACCAGTGGGATGGAAGCCCTAAAGGGCTCATACCACACAATGGCTATGCCAGACTGAGGTGTGTGTGTGTGTACCCTGGCAACATAAAAGGACCAGCTGGTTTGGGTGTTGGCTCTCGGGAAGGTACTGACCTCTCAATTTTGGAAAGTAATCCTAGAGTAGGAATGAAAAGAGCAAGTAATGGGATGATCTGGTGGCAGTGCCCATGGCATGGGCGGAGGCAGCCAATCTCGGGGGTCCGCTTATCACGAACTTATTATGTCCTGTCCTTCTGGGGATTTCGGCCTTTGCTAGGGCAGCACCTTGAGGAAGATACCTCTGGGAGTTGAGGGGGGAGGCCACAGCATTCCATAGAACAGTGTTGTCTTGGCTGAAACCAGCTGTTTGCCCAGCCTCTTTCTTCGGTCTGTTCGTGTCTCATCTTCATGTGCCCACACTGGTGGAAGGGGAGAAAGGGGTGTTTGTGCCAAATTGAAATTTGTTTCTGGCTTCTCTGCTCTAGCTTTTGCGTCTTACCCAAGCTGCCTAGTCCACTGAGTGTCCCTGTCTGTTTGTCCATTCGTGTCATAACGTGTTCATCTGTCTTGTGGTGGGAGACAAAGATGATCCTGTTGACCTTTTCCCATCCCCTCCGGCCAAGCCTGCTTTTTCCGTCAGGCTCAGCGAAGGTTTCCTGCCCAATCGGGTGTTTAGACCGTTAGCAGTGCAGGAGCTGGGTGAGAAAAATCTAGGGGGAAGAAACATTCGAGTTGTCTTGGTCTGGAACCGTTAGGAACCAGGGGACAGGGAAGAAAGCTAGCATTCTTTCTCTCTCTCTTCATCTCTGTCCACCCTGGCAGATTTGTGTTAGAAAGAAAATGGATGTAAGCCATGCTTAATGATTAGCTGATGGCATGCACCTTTCGGAAGGCCTCAGAGGTCCATGCTGTTCCTTCTCTCCCGCCCCGCCCCCCGAGCCAACTTTGCTCCCACCTCAGTGTCTTGTCTCCCAGAGCATTGGCGTTTGGGGACTGTGCCGTGTGACCTCTCAGTGGTGTGTTCTCAATTGGAGTCTCTTTCTGGTTGGCTTGCAGAGGGCGTGACATCCCACACCAGTGACAGCGAAAGCAGTTCCAGTAAGTGTGTGTCTTTGCCATGTCTCGTGGCTTCATCTGCCATTCTAACCATTCTCATTCCTCTGCCGCATGGCTGCCGCTTCTGCTCAGATAGGTGTTATCCTGACTGCTCTCATTGGAAGTCTTGGAGATGCTGTGGCCAATTCCCCTTATGGGGGTTGGAGCTTGGGTGTGCGCGCACACAGGAAGGCTTGTCGGGCTGAAGGGATACAGTAGTGCAGGGGCCGTGGTTGGCAGTGGCCTTCTTTCACAGCCGAAGCCACGTGGTAGCTTAATGGTGGTGACGTTGAGGCCTCAGATTAATTCCACTCGACAGATATTCTATCTGATGCACATCTGTGTGCTCAGTGCTGTAGAAACACACGTTTGAAACCATCTCTGCCTTCAGGAAGCTTAAGAAAAAGGGGGCTCTATACCGCTCTGGTTCCAAGGGCACAATCAGGGACTCTGCCTGGAATTTGCTTCTCTAGGAGATGTGGCCCCAGATTCCCTCCCCATAGTGGTCGGTTCTCTTTGTAGCTTGCCCCCCAAACCAGCCTAGGCCTCCTCGGGGAGAGGTAGAGGTGTAGGGCCTTGGCCTTGGGAGGCTGTGCAGGGCGAAATGTCCCAGGGGTTACCGGAGCAGAACTCTGCCTTGTCTGTAAAGGCCAGGTAGGTATTCTCTAAATACTGCCGAAAGTCTGGGGAGGTCCTTGCCCAAGGCATCTACCTGAGCTCCTCTCTTCTGCAGTGAGGGATAGGTCCACACACTTGGGGAGAGCTTTCCGTTTCAATGGGAGCCCTACTGGTCACCGTTTCCAGAAAAGAAAGAGGAATCGCTGCTTCTGATTCCTTTGATCTCCAAAGTAGTTTTCTGACCCTGGTTGGGAGGCAACCCTTAAGACACACTAATAAGTTTTTCCCTCTTTGTTACAGAAGGACAGGAGGACACAATTTTATCCTATGAGCCAGTGACACGGCAAGAAAGTAAGCCCTTTGTGAACGGTTGCCCTAATGGGGCCCTGAAGGAAGGGCGCACGGGAGCAGGAACCATGACTTTGCGCCATTATTTGGCAAAGGCGATTCAACCTTGGCCTTTCATGCCCCTCCAAACAGGGCTTCCTTTGACACTGAGAGGGCAGGAGAGGGAACGAATCCCTAAAGAGAAAAGGGCCGGGTCTCATCTCACAACCGTTCAGCACCACCGCTGACCCCGTTGTAGAGGTGCACCCTCCGTAAGAGGGGCTTTGATAGGCCTGGAGGTAGATCTCAGAGCTCAGTTCACTCTGTTCTGAGTCACGACCGACCCCTCACCTTGTGCATGTGCGTTCTCTCTAGTTCATTACGCGAGGCCAGTGATCATCCTGGGCCCCATGAAGGACCGAGTCAACGACGACCTGATTTCTGAGTTCCCACATAAATTTGGATCCTGCGTACCACGTAAGAGCCCAGGATGGTTCGGACCATCAATCACTTAGTCCATCCTTATGTTTCCTAGGGGAAGAGTCTGTTTCAGGGACTCCGGGGCCTAAATTGGGGTGTGTTCTGTTGGGATTGTGCAGCAGGAAGACTGACCTGCCCTGTGTGGTGTAGTGGGAAGAGCCCTGGGTTTGAAGTCAAGACGCTTTCTGCTCTCTGGGCCTCATTTTCCTCCTCTGTCAACTGAGGATGTAAGACTCTGTGACGTCTAGGGGCTCACCAGCCTGCCCTAAATTGGTGTTGTCCTTTTAGACACCACTCGGCCTCGAAGAGAAAATGAGGTGGACGGTCAGGACTATCACTTTGTGGCGTCCCGGGAGCAGATGGAAAAAGACATCCAGGAGAACAAGTTCATAGAAGCGGGGCAGTTCAACGACAATCTCTACGGCACCAGCATTCAGTCAGTCCGAGCTGTGGCGGAGAGGGTGAGACCAAACGGGCCCGGCTGGGTCTGGCCTCTCTCTCGCCTGGCAATTTTACCCGCTAGGGAACAGAGAGAGCCTCTTGTTGGCAGGAAACAGAGCCTGGGGCACCATTGCCCTGAGCCAGGTTTCTTGAGAAATAGCGGCTGGACTTAAGTGCCTGTTTATCTGGACAGCACTGTGTTGAGGAGAGGACAGACGGAACCAAGGCAGAGAGAGACACTGGGAGGGAGACGTAGGTGCACGATGAGACGTGGACGGAGAGACACAAGTAGGGTGAGGGCTCCAGATGCACAAGACGAGGACTTACTTGAAGACGCTCTGGGCCCGGTTTCTGGTTCCTCGCTGGTTCTGGAGGGTTGAGGGGGAGGCTTATGCCCTTCAGCCCCAGCAGTTCAGATAGCCATTTGACTTTGCTTTTTCCTCAAGGGCAAGGTCCAAGGGCTGTTAGCCCTAGGTCCTTCTGGAAGGTTCACAGCTCCCCTTTCTCCCCCAGGGGAAGCACTGCATCTTAGATGTGTCTGGCAATGCCATCAAGCGGCTGCAGCAAGCCCAGCTTTACCCCGTTGCTGTTTTCATCAAGCCCAAGTCTGTGGAAGCCCTCGTGTAAGTAGTCTTTTCGATGGGGGAAGGGAGGCCGGACTGTCCTTTTCTGGCTGCCTGACAGTGGTTCTCCTCCCCACGTCTGACAGGGAAATGAACCGAAGACAGACGTATGAACAAGCAAACAAGATCTTTGACAAGGCCATGAAGCTCGAGCAGGAGTTTGGCGAGTATTTCACAGGTGAGTTCACGTCAAAGGAGCTGAGCTTTGGGTTCAAATTTGTTTCCTCTGATGCTCAAACCCTCAAGTGACCCAGCAAGGCCCCTTTCCCGGGTCACTGGGATTATTTTAGCTCTCTCTTCAAGGCTGTCAAATGAGGGTCACGACATGACTTCAAATTCCATCTTCGTTTTCAGTAACCTGTAACGGAAAGTTAGCGTTTCCTTCAATTATCTCAAAACATTACGCTAAGAAGGAAGAGAGTCACAAAGATGGTGAAGAAACCGTCCCGACCCTTTGCGATCAGTCCCCTGCCACCCTTGCAGATACCCTGGGGGAGCGGGGGAGGCTGTGACCCAACCTGGGGGTGCAGCGATAACTGTTCTCTTCTCTTTAGCCATCGTACAGGGCGACTCACTGGAGGAAATTTATAACAAAATCAAACAGATTATCGAGGACCAGTCTGGGCACTACATTTGGGTCCCATCCCCCGAAAAACTCTGAAGACCATCGCCGCCCCTCGCCTCCTCCCAGCCCTTCCCCCCAAACCATTGTGAGCAAAGCCCAAGCCCCCTCCTTCCTCCTCCTTCCTGTCCCTCCGGGGAGAACAAATGACTACTGTTCCTGTCCCCTTTTTTAGATCTGTTGCAAAATTGAGTTTTCTAGTCCTGTTTCTTTTTGTTGGGATGATGTCATCTCGCTCATCACGTGACTGTGCCCATTCCTGCATGGACCTTCCCAGGAGCAGCTCAGGCGCCACTCCATCAGGCATTGTTTTTCTTTACAAACCAAGCAGCAGAGAAGAAGGCTGATGGATTGTCAATAGACTCAGGATAGAAAACCTGGATTTTGAAATTGGGCTCCACGTGACAACGAGCTCCCAGGGCATTTCTCCTACATCTGTGTCACTGTCTTGAAGCTCTGAACAGTGTGATGTAAATGGCAACTGAAAGCATCTTATTTATATGTATATGTAATTTATATAAAATATATAGAAATTATTATATATATATATATATATTATCCACCAACATAATATATATATATATATATATATGTACACACACACACACACAAAACCTGGACTAGAAAACCCTTTAGGGACTTTACTGACGGTACTGAAGGATCTCTTAACTTTCCGACACCCAAAGTCATTGATAGAAAATGGTACAAAACACGGTGGATGCTCCGTGTGCTCATCCATCCTCCTGAGAGCCAAGCTTTGTTGTCTCTTCCGCAGGCGGGGGTGGGGTCAGGCTGACCCCCACCAGACTTGTTTGCATGGAAGTTTCCTTTTGTTTGTTTTCGGCTGCTCTAAAACCAAAACCACATCGTGCTCCTTGCTGTATCCGCTTTTTCACGATTTCGGACGTCACCTTTGCTAACTGAGCATCTCGTTGTACAATGTTGTGAGGCCAGTATAAGGCCAGGCCCTGGGGGCCGATGTTTAGCTGCCAATGACTCAGAAGGCTCCCAGGGGCTCGTGGGGGTGAGATAATGGAGCAGGGAGCTGTTCTTTCCCCTTTTGTACTGGGGCAGTGAAGAAGTAGCTCTGACTATTTAGGACCTGAAAGGTTCAACACTCCACTAAGCCTTTATTCCACCCCCTCACCAGCAGCTGCTTAGCTTACTGTTACTTTGGGAGGAAAGTAGACTCAAATTGGGCACATTTGAGCTGCAGAGCTACATCCATGTAATAGTGAGAAATCAAGCCTCCTTGCTTTTCCCCAGGGCATACGCCCACAACTGCCGTCAGCGGCAGCAACAGCAGCAGAAGCCCTTTCCTGATAGGCCTGACCAGAGCAAAACAAAAAGCACAGACAGGGCTCTATCCCTATTCTCCCCCTAAAGGCCAGGTGCCTGGCTAAGGTAGGTAACCTTGCCATGTCTTACTCTTACCCACTGTGGACTGGTGATACAGGGAAGATGTGGGAGTGTCTGGGCCCCAGAGCTGGTGCACTGTACCCTACTTTCCTGGCCCATGGCAGCTGGAACACTGTAAATACCCCCCCCCCCCCCCAGTACTTAAGACAGTTAGGAACTCCTAGCCAAATTTCGGAAACATATTAAACTGTTATTCTACCAGCAACATAGACTAGCTGTCCAAGGCTGGGGTGCCAGGGGAAAGGAATAGCAGCTTTGCCTGGGCACTGTACTGGGGCCGGGGAAGGGAGGGGTTAGCATAGAAAGGCAGCTTCTTTGCTGCGACCTACAGTGAATTTTCTGGGCACAGCTTGCTCCCTCCCAGAGAAGAAAGGCAAAGACTAAAAGTAACCTTGACATGAGTTGGTTTACCACTGTTCCTTCCAAGGAGACGTATATTTTTTAATAAACAATAGTTGGCAATGAATTGTGTGGCTCAGAGACCTTCTTGGAAAAATGTGCGTTTGTTTCAAATGCTAAATCTGGTAAGAACCACCACTTGGCAAAGCAAAAAAGGGATGAGGGTGGTGATAACATGGGGGGGGGGGGGGGCTTTTTCCCGGCCCGGGCCGGGGCAAAGTCGGTTTTGGGGTTCTAAAAAATCTAGGGGGGGGGGGTCACCATAGAGAATGAAAAAATAGCTAGATGAATAATAGACATTTGTAGTAACATATTAGGAGACTAATATTCCTCTCTCAGAATTGGATAAATTCGACAAAGAAATCGTGACATTATATAAATATATATACACATACATATGTGTGTGTGTATATATATATATACACATACATATGTGTGTGTGTATATATATATACACACACACACACACATATACATATACATATATACCCATGTATATGAAATGCTGGATAAACCAAGACTTGATCGATATGGGAGATTCTGAATGGGAATGTTAAAAGGCATCTATTTCTCAATATTCTATCGTACCTTTACAAAAACTGATCATACGCTTGGGTATAAACATGTAAAAAGGCAGATATAATAAACATTTCTTTCACAGACCATAACACAAAATAGTAAGGAATAAAAAAAAAAAGGAGCAAAATATGTAAACCTAAGTAGAGACCAAGTAATGGCACCCTGTATGAGTGGATAAAAGAATAACGCATAGAAACAATTATGTTAAAGATGACACAGACTAAAACTCACGGAACACATCTAAAGCAGTCCTCAGGAAATTTTCTATCTCTGAAAACTTGAAGTACAAAGAAAGAAAAAGGATCAACGAACAGAGTCGATAACTATAAAAACCAGAAAATAAAATTAGCAAGCCTAAAGCTTGCTACAAGGAAATGAAAATATAAAACTGATAAAACTACGGGCTTAAAAAGATACTAAATTAATAAACCATAAAGAAAAGGGGACAATCATGAGAAAATTCTATATGCAATTATATAACCACCAAACCTGAGAATTCAAAAGAGTTTAACCCAATCCCATGAAAAAAAAACCCTAGATCATTGGATTTGCAAGTGAATTCTCATTAGACGTTTATGAGCTATTAATGCAAATGTTATAAGAAATACTCTCAAAATCAGAGGAGACAATATTCTTTTAACCTTCAATCTTTTTTTATTAATTTATTTTTCATTTTCAGCATTCACGATAAGCTTTTGGATTTTAAATTCCCCCCCCCACCTCCCTCCCCAAGACATCCTGCAATCTGATATAGGCTCTACATATACATTCTATTAAACATTTTCACATTAGTCATGTTATAAAGAAGAATTAGAACCAATAGGAGGAACCACAAGAAAGAAAAAACAAAACAGAAGAGGAAAAAAAAAGCAAATAGTGTGCCTCAGTCTGCATTCCAACTTCACAGTTCTTTTCCTGGATGTAGATAGCATTTTCCATCATGAGACTTTTGGAGATGTCTTAGATCCTTGCATTGCTGGGAAGGGTTAAGTCTATCAATATTAGTCATCACACAATGTGGCTGTTACTGTGTACAACATTCTCCTGGTTCTGCTCACTTCACTCAGCATCAGTCCATACAAGTCTTGCCAAGTTTTTCTGAAGTCTGCCTGCTCATCATTTCTTACAGCACAGTAGTATTCCATTACATCGATACACCACAACTTGTTCAGCCATTCCCTCATTGATAGGCAGCCCCTCAATTTCCAATTCGTGGCCACCACAGAAAGAGCTGCTATAAATATTTTTGTACGTGAGGGTCCTTTTCCCATTTGTATGATCTGTCTGGAATACAGCCCTAGAAGTGCTGTTGCTGCATCAAAGGGTATGCACATTTTTATAACCCTTTGAGCATAGAGACTGAATATTCTTTTTTTTTTTTCAGCCAAAGACAAGGTTTATTAGAACACTGTCATATTAGGCAGACTCTTAAGGAGTCTGAACATGGGTATCTAAGCCGAGACTGAATATTCTTAAGGCAGCTTCCTGAGCCCAAGTGAAAGCAAAGCAGAGAAAGAGAACTTCAGACCAATTTCACTGATCAATCTTGATGTTAAATAAACATTTTCTTAAGGAGACTATAGAAATGTATCCAGAAAACAATTCACCACAACCAAATCAAATTCATATCACAGAAGCAAAAATGGTTCAATATAGGGAAACAATGTAATTGATCATATAAACAACAAGAAATGGCCCAAACCCCACAATTATTTCAGTAGATGCAGAAAACACCTTGGACCAAAAACACCCCCAAATATTTATGTTAAGAGCCCTAAAAAAAAAACCAACAGGCATGGAAGGGCAATTTAACATGATCAAAAACATTTAAAACTAGATGACAGCATTGTTTGAGATGGAGAAACACTAGAAACCTTCCAAGTGTAAAGAGGGGTAAAGTAAGGAGACCTCTTCACAATTATTTGAAATAATTCTAGAGATGTAAGCCATAGCATTAAAACAAAAGAACAAAAGCAAAGGTCTAACACTGGCAGAGAACCATAGAATCATCCTCAGCTGCAGATGACTTGAAGGCATACTTACAAAACCCCAAAGAATCAGTGAAGAATTCAGATTGTATATTCAGGAAGGTGGCAAAATAATGAGCATTTCTATATAATAGACCTCAGGGTGAAATGATGTGAGAAATTCCATTCAAAATAGCTATAAAATACATAAACTATCTGGGGGTTAGTGGAGTCTGCTGAGACCCATATAAACATGGAGCTCTACAGAAGTAAAGGGAAAGGGGACAATATAATTATAATGACAATGATATTTAAATTAATTTATAGCTCTAGTGTTATAACAAATTGCCTAGGGGATTTTTTAGGCACACATACAACTATGTGAAAGAACAAATGAAAAGCGTGAATGAAGTTGGCCCAACATAACAAATTCAAATTCGATTATGAACGAAAAAAACAAACCAGAAGCAGACTAGAGGAAGCGATTAGATAAACAAGAAACAGCAGAAATCAACAATAGCAGCTCAGTGCTTGACAGAGTCTAAAACCGGATTCAGTTTCTGACAGAAATGAGGGTTGAGCCGACATCCTCTGTGGTGTGCCATCGTGAGAAGCTCGTGACCTGAATATAAAGAAATGACAAGAGAACAGGAAGGGGTACCTCCACAACTAATGCTTCAGGGACAATTCCTTGCTAAACGAGGAATATAAGATAAATGACAAAAAACTGAAAACATAGAAATAAACGAATAAAACCAATTCATGAATACAATTAAGATAAAAAGAGGACCTGTATAGTGGGGGAAATGCTTCTAAACCTGCTTCTACTTGAATCAAATATAGATAAAATTCTGATATCTAAGATATATAGGAACTGAAATGCAAATATAACACCTATTTCTCAATAGATAAATGATCTCAAGGAGATGAACATTTTTCAACATAATTGCACACTGTAAGACACCACATGAAAACATGTTCCAAATCACAAACGGAGACAAGTAAATTAAAACAACTGAGGTTTCACCTCATACTGCAAACTGGCAAAGATGGGAACACTTTGTGCTGGAGGGGGCGTGGGAAAGCAGGCACACTGATGAATTACTGAGAGAACTATGAAGTGGTTCAACTGTCCTGGATTTCAGTTTTAACATTAAAAGGAAGCCCATTTCTGAACACAAGAACATACCCCAAGGAAGTCAAAGAGAGAAATAAAGAGCCATTTTTTTTGTTAATCAGACCCGTGATTTCATTAGCGGAGGCACTTTTTCTACAACTTTGAGAATTGTCAGAGAAAATCCGGGGTTAAACGGCTTGCCTCGGGTCACACAGCCTAGATGACTGTGCTAAAGGTAGAGCTTGAATGACGGTCCTTCAGATTCTGAGGCAAGCTATCTGCTTTGCTATCCTGCTTCTAAAAGGCCAGCAAATGTCTAAATACTCGCATCATAAGTAGGAGATCTACAAGGAAGTCAACAACAGAAACAAGGTCAAATATGTGCCAGATCTTCATAATAGTGTGCTTTGTGAGAACAAAGCATTGGAAAGAAAGTCACCTATTACTGAGGAATAGATGTAGAAACAGTAACATCTAAGTATAATGGAATATTATTGTGCAGTCAGACATGACAAATATAGAGAATTCAGAGAAACATGGAAAGATTTGTACAAAATGATATACAGCAGCAGTATAAACAATGGCCAAAACAAAATGGGGCAACTAGGAGGTGCTGCAGTGGATAGAACGCTGGGCCTGGAAACAGGAAGACCGGAGTTCAAATCTGGTCTCAGACACTTATGAGCTACGTGACCCTGGGCAAGTCACTTCACCCTGTATGCCTCAGTTTTCTTATCTGTAAAATGAGCTGGAGAAGGAAGTGGCAAACCACTCCAGTATCTTTGCCAAGAGAACCCCAAAAGAGATGCACTGTTGGTTGAGTTGTGAACTGATCCAACCATTCTGGAGAGCAATTTGGAACTATGCCCAAAGGGCTATAAAACTGTGCATACCCTTTGACTCAGCAGCACCACTATTTGGTCTGTATCCCAAAGAGACCATAAAAAAGGGAAAAGGACCCACATGTACAAAAATATTTATAGCGGCTCTTTTAGTGGCGGGAAAGAATTAGAAATTGAGGGGATATCTATCAATTGGGGAATGGCTGAACAAGCTGTGGTATATAAATGTAATTAATACTATTGTGCTATAAGAAACGATGAGCAGGCTGACTTCAGAACAACCTGGAAAGACTCGTATGGACTGATGCTGAGGGAAGTGAGCAGAACCAGGAGAACGTTGTACACAGCAACAGCCACATTGTGCTATGACCAACTGTGTTAGACTTAGCTCTTCTCAGCAACACAATGATCCAAGACAATTCCAAAAGACTCATGATGGAAAATGCTCTCCACCTCCAGAGAAAGAGCTCTGGAGTCTGAATGCAGATGGAAGCAGACATTTTCACTTTTTTGGGTTTTTGTTTTTTCTTTCCTGTGGTTTTCCCCTTTTTTTCTGATTCTTTTTTCACAACATGACTAATGTGGAAATATGTTTAACATGACTGCACATGTATAACAAAAAAAAAGAAAATTCCCCCCAAAATCCCCCTGAAAAGTCAGACACAACCGAAAAACAAACAAAACAGGACCTGACAACATATGTGACGTGCCAGCCCAGCCTGTAGACACTGTTATGTCCTATATTGGACACCTGCTAATCTGGAGAGCGATGATCTTTTCACCCCTAGAGATGACTGTGATATAAAGACCAAAAGAATCAATTAAAATGCACCTGAGAAAAAAAAATCAGGATAAGGGACTAGGTGGTGCCTCCCAGCTCTGACATTTTGTTTTCTATGGAAGTAATTCCTGGGCAAGATAGAGAAAATGGATTTTAGCATGACTCCCAAATCATATCACGTCTGGGGGGGGGGGAGAGAGAGAGAGACTGTCAGAATAGACCCAGTGACCTAGAACAGGTATGAAGACTGATGGCTCCCACCTAGAGGGGCCCCTGAAACCCCAGTATCACATCCCCACTCCAGGTATTTACCTATCTTTCCCCAAGCCCTCTGCTACCCTCCAACTGTCTTTCAGACAACTCAAACTGGATTCCAATATGTCTAAAACAGAACTCATTCTCTTTCCACTTAAACCCTGCCTCCTTCCTACCTTCTCTATTACTGTCCAGTAGGACTAGGAGTCGTCCTGGACTCCTCACTCTCTTTCTTCGCCTCCCACACACCCATATCCAATATGGTGTCAAGCCCTGCCAATTTCACCTTTGCGACACCTCTAGAATATATCCCTTTCTCTCATCTGACACTGCCATCCCCCTGATGTGGGCCCCCATCACCCCACTCCTGGGCTACTGAGGCGGGGGGGGGGGGGGGGGGGGGTCTACCTGCTTCAAATCTCTCCTAACTTTAATCCATCTTCCATTCAATAACCAAAATGATTTCCCTAAAACACAGGTCCAGTCGTATCATTCCCCGACTCAAAAAATTGCAATGGCTCCCCACGGTCTCTAGGAGCAAATACAAAAGCTCTGTTTGGCACTCAAAGCCCTTCATAACCCAGCTCCCCCCACCTCCTACCTTCCCAGTCTTTTTATATCGTATTATACCTTACTCCCTGACATGTACTCTTCGATCTAGTGGCCCTAGCCTCCTGGCTCTTCCACCAACACGACACTCCATCAGGTGGGGCTGTCCCCCATGCCTCAAACACTCTCCCTACTGTCTCCTGACTTCCTTGGTTTCCTTTAAATTTCAGATAAAATCCCACCTTCCATAGGAAGCCTTTTTTCCAGCCCTTCTTAATTCCAGTGCTTTCCCTCTGTTAATTATTTCTATTTATCCTGTATGTTTGTACATAGTTGTTTACTTGTGCCCTTTAGATTGTGAGCTCCTTGAGGTCAGGGACTGTCTTTTGCCTCTTTTTGTATCCCCAGTGTTAGCACAGTTCCTGGCACGTAGTAGGTACTTGATAAATATTGACTGATCTAGGGTAAAGTCTCATTGCTGCCTTCCTGGTCTGACCTTTTTTTTTTCCCCAGCCAAAGACAAGGTTTATCAAAGATCCACCATATTAGTCAGACTCAAGGCATCTGAGAACCTGCGAGTATTGGCTAAATTGTAAAAATCTGAGCACCTTAATAGAGCCAAGATGGACCTTATATACAGAAAGACTGTGGGAGGTATCTGGGAGTGGCCAGGTAGTTTGGGGTGACTGGAGGAGGGGTCTAAGGAGGATCTGAATGGGCTGATCTGACCTTTGCCAGCTCTCAATCCCAGTTGGGGTCTGGGAAATACCACTGCAGACTTGACCCTAGTTCGAATTCTAGTAGTTAGCTACAGACCACTATGCTGCAGGGGTGGAACCCTTGGGACCAAAGCAGAAGCAGATCTTTCCAGTTCTACCTTTACTTGACCAAAGGCATGTTGAAAGACCTCAGGCAGCCCCTTCCATTCTATGAAAGCTTCTCATGGTTAGAGTCAATTCTGGTGCTGAACTGAAAGCAGCCTTCCTGCAACTTCCCTTCACTGGCCCTCCTGGTCTTATCCTCTAGAGCCAAGCAGAACAAGCTCCCGAGCCTTCCTCCAGAGACTTGGAGACACCTATCATGTCTCTCACCCAGCCCTTTACCCTGAGTCTTCTCTTCTCTGAGGAACTGGAACTGGGGGAGAAAGGATATTTTTTTCCTACCTAGGGAGAATTTGGGAAATATGCTTGACTCGTGTGTGTGTGTCTGTGTCTGTGTGTGTGTGTGTGTGTGTGTGTGTTCTGTGTATGTGTGTGTGTTTTGGGGATCAGGGGGAGGGGAGGAGGGACACATTTCCTGCAGAGAATTTGAGCTTGAAGAAGACTCAGAGACAGACCTAGGAGGAATGGTTGAGGGCCCTCAACCACTTTCAAAAAATTCTACCATAAATGGACCAGAGATGAACGGCAGAGATATGATACACAGACATGGCAAGGAGGAACAGCCATTTTTATTAGTTAGAACAATGTTGGAAACAGAAACCAGTCCTCAGAACAACAGAACCCAAGGCTTAAGAACATGTCTGCCGACCATTTTCCCTCCTCCCCCTAATAATTATGTCATTTTAGTCAATCTAACTCCATGACTTTAAAACTTCCAAGAGACCCTGAGAACAGACCTCCACTGTGCTCCAAGTTCTGGTAGCTCCTATTCTTCGTTGGGACGCAAGCTCTTATCTCTCTCCACCTTGGCCAAGACCTCCCCATACACATCAGTCATCTGGGAAACAGAAACCCCGGCAAGCTTAGAGAACAGATAAAAAAGCAAGGATAGTGTCGGAGCTAAGCTCACATGATGAGTTTGAGTCCCTGTGACCCCTCCCTTTCCCCAAGCTCTGGCAGCTGCGGGGGGGGGAGGGGAGGAGGGTCCCATTTTTCTCTCTCAGGGTGGGGTGAGCCCTATTGCATTAGGCCTGTGTTTCAGGGCCAGGCAGTGATGAAAAAAAAGTGTTTGCCCAGTGACTTATAACACAAACCACTGCTGGATCATATCATTAATTCCCCCTTCAGATCAACTGTCTTTCCCTACTAAGTCTTTCTGGGAGGGCTAGAACTTAGAGGCCTCAGTCAGTGCCACATTTCCCAATATGTCCTCCCCATCTTCTCTATCCAGCAAGTCATCCCTTGTGGCAAAGAAGAAGAAAGGAGAAAAAAGATCAGTGCAGGAAAACTAATCATAGCATCAACCAAGACTGAAAATACAGGTGCTGGTCTATAGCCCAAGTCACCCCCCCTCCCACTTGGGGCCAAGCTCAAAGTCATTAGGATGAAACCGTAATCCTTTTGGGCCAGGCCTCCGTCAAAGTGGCATTGACATAGTTTTTGAGTCCCTTAGTTGGACTGAAGCTAATCCTTTTCTCTCTGTCCATTTAATCTTCCTGTTTCCCATCCCATTAGAATCATAGAATCTTACTGCTGGAAAGAACTGAAAGCTCATTTATCTATCCAAAATAAGGCCTCTTCAGCATTCCTGACAAGTACCAAAAAGTCTCCATTGGAAGACTTCCTGTAACAGGAAAGTCACTACTAAAACAAGATCCTACATGGGAAACTCTTTGAAAACTTCGAAAGCACCGTGTCACACAGGCTACCATCATTAGCCCATCCCACCTTCGGACAACTGGCCTTTCTTCCATCTCTCAGCCCCCTCTTTCATTACATTTGCCATTACCAACCTACTGCTGGGAGCACACAGTGCATGGAGCCAGGAGTTAGAAAGACTTGAATTCAAATTCCGCCTCAGACACTAACTAGTTGTGGAAACCTGGACAAGTCACCTAACCTCTGACTGCCTTAGTTTCCTCAAGTATAAAATGGGGATCACAATAGTACTTGCCTCGCAGGGTTATTGTGAGGATCACAAGATCATGTTTGTAAAGTACTTAGCACAGTGCCTGGGCACATAGTAGGTGTTTAATAAATGCTTGTTCCCCCCTCTGAGCCCCTCCCCTCTTCTGAGGTTCCCTGGTGTCCCCTATCCTTGTCTCTATCTTACCTGCGCTTCATAGCACTTCTTCAGAGAGCCAAGGTGGCCAAGAAAGCGAATCCCCAAACCGCACCACTTCTCAGCAGTTATGTACATGCCCTCGCTATACTGATAGACTCCTGTATTCCAGGCTTTAGTCATAAGCCAAAGAATCTCCACCTGTGGGTATTCCTCCTGAAATGCAAGAAAAGCAGAGTCGAGACTAGTGCCCTTCATCTACAGCCTATCCCCAGGGTAAAAGGCCAAGTGGGCATCTGCAATACATTCCACACAAGATATTCATAGGCAAGTTGTGTGCTCCCACTCACCTCAAAACAGACACGAGCAAGCAAAAAAAGCTCCCAATAGCTGGGATCTTCGGCTACTTTGTTCATTTGCTTCTGTATATTGTGGACCTAATCTGCTCCACTGATCAAGCTCTCTATTTCTTTTTTGAAATTTATTTTGATTTATCAACAATCGCTTCCAGAAGCTTTTGAGTTTTAAATTTCTCGTCCCCTCCCTCCCCACCTCCCTCCCCAAGATGGTGTGCAATCTGATATAGGTTATACATATACATTCCTATTAAACATATTTTCACATTAGTCATGTTGTAAGGAAGAATTAGAACCAATAGGAGGAACCACCAGAAAGAACAAAACAAAACAAAACAGAAGAAAAAAACAGCAAATAATATGCTTCGATCTGCATTCAAACTCCAGAGTTCTTTCTTCTTTATGGATAGCATTTACCATCATGAGACTTTTGGACATGTCTTAGATCCTTGCATTGCTGAGAAGGGCTAAGTCTATCGACATTAGTCATCAAACAATATGGCTGTTACCGTGTCCAACGTTCTCCTGGTTCTGCTCGCTTCACTCAGCATCAGTCCATACAAATCTTTCCAGGTTTTTCTGAAGTCCACCTTATCATTTCTTATAGCACAATGGTATTCCATTACATTCATATACCACAAGTTGTTCAGCCATTCCCCAAGTGACGGGCATCCTCTCAATTTCCAATTCTTGGTCACCACAGAAAGAGCTGCTATCAATATTTTTGTACATGTGGGTCCTTTTCCCATTTGTATGATCTCTTTGGGATACAGCCCTAGAAGTGCTATTGCTGGGTCACAGGGTATGCACATTTTTATAACCCTTTGGGCACAATTCCAAATTACTCTCCAGAAGGGTTGGATCACTTCACAACTCCACCAACAATGCATTAGTGTTCCAATTTTCCCACATCTTCTCTAACATTTATCATTTTCCTGTTTTGTCATGTTTGCCAGTCTGATAGGTGTGATGTGGTACCTCACATCAACCTCTCTATTTCTTACCCAGTACCAAATTGTTTTGCTTATTACAGCATTGTAGTACAGTACTGATACTGCTACGCCTCCTTCCTTCAACGATGATTTTTTTTTATCATTAATTCCCTTGACAATCTTACCTTTTAAGTTCCTCCAGATGAACTGTTGTTATTTTTTCCAGCTCTACAAAGTAACCCTTTGGTAGTTTGATTAGTACGGCACTGAATAAGTAAATTAACTTAGGTAGTATTGTCATTTTTATTATGTTGGCTCAGCCTACCCAGGAGCAATTAATATTTCTCCAAATATTTAGATCTGCCTTTATCTGTGTGAAGAGTGTTTTATAATTGCGTTCATATAGTTCCCGTGCGTGTCTTGGCAGGTGGACTCCCAAGTATTTTATACTGGTTATAGTTATTTTAAATGGAATTTCTCTTTCTATCTAGGTGATGCAGGACCTGGAGGCAGGGGGTAGGAGGACTCTATTATACACTGGATGGAGGAGTTCATAGCTTTAAAGAATGTTATCTTAAATGATGACTGGGTAAAAGAACAAAGCAAATCAATGGCACACAGCTGTAGCAAAGAAAACTATAATGAAGCAATATGCCAATATTTATGGCTAAAGCAATCATTAGAGGAAAGTGTATCTCTTTGAACACATATTACCAAAAGAGAGGAAGAAGACCAATGAACTGAGCATGGAACTAAAAAAAAAAATCAATAAAATCAACAAATTAATGATCCCTAAACAAGCATGAAAGCAGAATTTTTAAAGCCAAAAAAAGAACTAAAGTAAAACCGCACTTCTAAACAAAGTTTTTTGAAAAAAGCGAGACTAATTCAATCAATAAACTGTTGATTTTTTCAGTGAGAGGAAAAGTGATTTACTCTGATAAAAAACCAGAGAGGAAGGAATTGACAAGGATTGGAAAGGAAACAAAAGAAAATCATCAGAAGCCACTTTAGGGATGTGTGGGAGCCAGCTAGAAGCAGGAATCTTTGAGGAAATCTGCAAAGGCTACAAACCAGGGTGCTCATTTAGGGTTTTCTTGATTGTCTGGCCTTGACAATGAAATGGAGAAGATGTTAAGAATACAAATTAAACTGAAAAGTGTGGCCAGATATTAAACATTTACCTGAACACCATTGACTTTACTCAATTATCTGCCAACTAAACTGAAATCTTAAATGACAAGGTGAATTAAATATAAAATATCCAAATTAGCAAAACAAGAAATACAGAATTTAAATAATCTGATTTCTGAAAGAGAATCCCCCAAAGGGGGAGTGGGTGTTCTTTGAGGTCTTGTCCTGGGCCGCTTCTCCTTCTCTACTCTCTCTCTTCTAGACCTCAGCAATTTTCATGGGTGAGTCTCTCATCTCTATACAGATGACTCCCAGATCTAGATATTGAGCCTCAGTTTCTCCCTTAAGTTCCAGTGCCTAACTATCATTTGAAACTGGATGTCTCTGAGACATCTTCAACTCAATATGTCCAAAATTCAGCTCCGGATCTTTCCTACTAAACCCTCATCTCTTCCCCGATTTTTGTTAAAGGCACCACTATTCTTCTAGTGTCTGAGCTTTGTAACCTCAGCATCTTCCTTAACTCCTCCCTCACCCCTCTTTTCCAATCAGTTGACAAATGATGCCACTTCTACCCCCAACATCTCTTGCATCTGACCCCTTCTCTCCACTCACAGAGCCAACATTCTAGTTCAGGCCCCATCAACCTCTCATCACTGTGAGAAGCACTAAAGGGCTCTCTAGTGGAAAAAATTTAAGAAGCTCTGACCTAGATTATTGTAACAGCCTCCAAAGTGGCCTCCCTGCCTCCAGATCCTCCCCTCTCCAGTCTAGTACACACTGCTGCCAAAGTCATTTTCCTTGAACACAAATCTGAACGTGTGATTCTACTACTTAAGCTACTCTATGGTTTCATATTGCCTACAGGAAAAAAAAAATATCTAAACTCTGTTCTTTTCTAGCCCTGCACAATGTGGCCCAAACCCAGCTTTCCAGTTTCACTGGACATTATTCCCTGTCTTGCACTCGAGTCCAACCAATTTGGCCTTTTCTCTTTTACTCCATCTGTCGTTTCCATATCACTGACGCTTACCGTCCTTACGTCCCCTTTTGAGTCCCTTTGCTCAAGCATCATTCTCTACATGAAGTTCTTCCTGATCTCCCTAACTATAAGTTATAATTAACTACTCCTTATAATTAACTCCTTTTTATATATGTGGATCTACTAACATTATGTTTACTGTGTACATTTTTATATGTACTCATCTTCATTAGAATGTAAGCTCATTGTGAGTACAGATTATTTCATTCTTTGTACTTGTATGGTCAATGCCTAGCACGGGGCTGGGTACATAGTTAAGCACTTAATAAATAGCTGTAGATTCACTGATGGATTTTACAAGTGAATTCTATTAAATATTTAAAGATTTAATAACTCCTATACTACACAAATTGCTTATAAAAAAGAAAGAAGGAAAGCACCACAAAACTAAACTCCTTCTCTAAAACAAATATGAACCCGATACCTAAACTAGGAAAAGAGAAAACAGAAAAAGAAAACTATGAGCCAGTAACACTAATGAACATTGGTTCAAAAAGAGTTAATAAAATGTTAGCAAAAAGAATACAATAATATATTTTAAAATTATTCATTATGACTAAATTAGATTTATACTAGTAATCCAAGGATGATTCTACATTAAGAAAACTATGAACAGAAATAATCATGTCAATAAAAAAAAATGAAAACCACCTGATTGTGTCAAGAGATGAAGAAAAATCCTTTAACAAAATGCAGCACTCATTTGTGTAAATTATCTGCAACAGAGAAACACTGGAGTCTTTCCTCATAAGATCAATGGTAAAGCAAAGATGTCCATTGTTTCCATTATTATTCAGCATAGTACTAGAAATGGTACCTATAGCAATAAGAAAAAAAATGGAAGAAATAAACATAAGCAAAGAGAAAGCAAAATTTCCATTTAAAGGTGACACAGTCATTTAACTAGAGAACCTTATCAAATCAGCAAAGAAAATTGAGAAAATGATTAGTATTAGTAAAATAACAGGATACAAAATAAATCCACAAAATCATCAGCCTTGCTGTGTGTTACTAACAAAACCCAAGAGCAGCTAGGCAGCACAGTGGATAGAGTGCTGGGTCTGGAGTCAGGGAGACTCATCCTCCCGAGTTCATATCTGGCCTCAGACACTTCCTAGCTGTATGACCCTGGGCAAGTCATTTCACCCTATTTGCCTCAGTTTCCTCATCTGTAAAATGAGCTGGAGAAGGAAATAGCAAACCACTCCCGTATCTTTGCCAAGAAAACCCCAACTGGGCTCAGGAAGAGGGACGTGACTGAATAACTACACTGAACAAAACCCAGGAGGAAAAAACAAGAAGAGAAATTCAAGATAAAAACAAAATGCATTAATTAGCTAGGAATTACGCTTCCAAGAAACACAACTACACGAGCCTTGTGAGTGGGGGGAAAAGGACATATATTCTATGAAGGTAGAAATGACAAATGGGGCAATGGATTGAATAGGAGAGGTGAGTGAGTAGTCAACTGAGATTGGGAGCCTGGGTGACTGAGAGAATTGAAGCGCCCTTGACAGCAGCAGGAAAGTAAGTTTTTAGGGGGAAGACTGAGTTCAGTTTTGGACATGTTGAGTTGAAGATGCCTAGGGGACATCTAGTACAAAATGTCCAAGAGGCAGCTTTAGGAGACTAGAGTTAGACATACAACTCTGGGTGGGAATCTTGCTTAGGGATGAGCGTTGAACCATGATTTTAACGAGATCACTGAGTAAGATGGCATAGAGTGAGAAGAGAAGAGGGTCTGAGACAGCA